TGCCGTGCAGCGCTTCAAGAGCTGTCCTGCGTCTGACCTCAAAGTGCACGAGCGTCCAACTTCAGCGTTGGCTGCGCTTTTGAAGCTGAAATCGCGTTCGGTGTGAATGCAGGTTATTAACAACGTTCATGTACTTAGACCAGTAATATTTGGGGTCACAAGTTTTTGCCATGAATATTTTATGGGTCAGAAGATAAAAAGTTTGGGAACCACTGCTCTAAAGTCCCACGTACTTCTCTGGTCAAGAGTCAGTGACCTCTTTTGCTTACTTTAAAAGTCACCATGTTTTAGGATTTTACTCTTTATCCTCTGTTTTCTCTCAGATAAAGTGTTTCACAACCAGGACAATATCTGTTTAGAAATACTCATTCTTGTTGCTGTTTATCAAACATCATTCTCTCCTTGGCCCAGTTTTGGCACCAAGAGAAATGTTATTGTCTGTTTGGATAACATTCTGTATAAATGTGTGTATTTGAAACGGCCTCAGGGTACACACTCCATGTACCACTGCCCTGTGTGACATGATGTGTGTCTTGCAATTGCAATAAATCCTGACTGACCTTTTCACGGAGTACTTTTTATTCTTGGATCACGTGTTTCTATCTTGGCTACGACAATTTTGAAGTCTTCCAGACCAGAAAGGACCTGTAGTTTCTCCAGCAAAAAAAGCATTGAGAAACTACATGAAGAGTTTGAAGWATTGTAAAGTAGCTATTCTTCATTTTTCATTAAGAGCAAAACACTTGGCGTGCTAAAATATTGCTCCCCTTTCTCCTCATAACACAAAATCCACTTTTGTTCTAAAAGTCGATTGTTGTTTAAATGAACATCCACTTCAATCTCGTTTAAAAAAAACTACAATTCTTTTTTGTTGTTGAAGCTCCAGTCTTGACAGCACTGCAAAAACCACAGACACCACAGATATCATATTTCTGTGTCTGTTCTACCGCCTGCTCACGTATGTTTGTGTGCATCTTAATGMTTTGCTAAAATTATCTTTTCTTTGTCTTGTGAGGCCGGCTGAAGGTGAGCTTAGTCTTCTCAAATGATGAAACACACCTGACTTTAATCAAGCTCAATGTAATGAAAGATGTCTGTGACACGTTACAGATTTAAATGTAATTCAGTGAAAAAAATGACCTGAAGTTCTTCAAGTGAAAACTCTTGTTTTCTGTTTGGTGCCATGAAGTCATGACTTATTTGATGTGAAAGAACAAGGTTTGCATTTGCACAAACCCTGAAAGGTGTGAAAACCAGAGAAAGGTTTTCCTGTGTCAAAGCCTTTCACACGCTTTTTGTGCTGCAGCCTGCTGCACCTTCACCAGCCACACACACGAAGGGGCCCCTGCTTCTGAGGGGACATGGAGCGGGAGGGTCCGTTCGTTCAGTCCATGTACTATGGCAGGATTGGGAGCAAGGACACAGAGAGGCTGCTGGAGATGTATGGACAAGATGGCAGCTTCCTGRTGAGGGACAGCACGACGGTGCCGGGGGCCTACTGCCTGTGTGTCAGGTGAGCCGCTTTGACCTCAGCTCTGTGGCACTGTGACGAATTTACCCGCTCATTTTTCATTCAATCGGACTAAATAGAATAGAAATGACTTTTTTTTTATTCCTCAATGGAGAAATTCAGGTGCATCATCAATAAACACACAAGAAAAGTTTAATTTGTATGAACTTTATTGAGTTCATCACATAGACAAGCTTTAAAAACAGTCAGGTCTGTTATTTTTGATGTCCTCACAGTTTCATTTTTATTCAGGCCTTTTAAAACCTTTTTACGCCTTGTTACTGTTATTTTTAATCAGTTTTAGGGTCAACTATTCAGCAAAAGCTGAAAAACTTTTAAATTAAAGCAACAATTCTGCACACAATTGGTCTTAAGTTACTGACTGTGTTCACCCTTTAACTAAATATAAAACACGATGCAGAATACCCCCAAAATGAATAATATAAATAAATAAATAAAATTGGTGACAAAATGAACTGAAATGTACTGCCTGACTGAGATCTAATTCAAGATATTTTATCAAATGTCAACAAGAAAAAGTTCAGTCTAAGTTCAGTTTAATCTGTGTTAAAGACCGATACATTTAAAAAAATTAATTAAAAATGCTCTAAATCTGACCTGCTAAATTCTCTTCAAGCATAAAAACAGCCCCATACATAAGAATCATATTATTCTTACTGATTAAAGATGATTTTACTTCTTTATTTACCTGTAGTAGAAATGGATTCTTTTAAACCTTTTGATAAAACTCAGACGACTAATTTAAACAAAATCATTTTACTTTAAACTTGTATCCAGAGTTACTTAATTAAAACACATTTTCCCTCCCAACACCTGCTTCAGCCTCCAGTTRACAGATAAATTAAATGTGTCAGTGGTTAAACTAAATGAGTCTGTGATAAAAATCATATTTTTAAAAATTTTCAAGCCACATCCTTGCAAAACTGGAATGTCTGCAAAGGACTATTTAAAAACTTTCTGCTATTTTTCTTTTTTACCAAAGCTCACATAAATATGATGTTGAAGGAAAACTAACTTGGGACAAATGGCTGGAAATCTGCTGGAGGCTGAAATTTGCAAGAAAACAGGCAACTTTATAGTTTGTGATCAGCAAGCGGCTTATTTTTGTTTGCACGGCTTGCAAAGTCTATTCCAGTGTATTTATAATATTTTACTGCCCACATGTACCCACCACTGCCCACTTTTCACTCACCTGACAGCTGCCCCCAAGTTTGTGATTCAGTCAGTTTTTGAGTTCTAATGATTCAGTGATTTTATCAAATTAGTGCRATTTAGAAATTAATCCTTGGACTAGTTTGTTACTTATTATTTACCACTGACGTGGTTTTTAGACCTGGACATCCTGTGCAGATGTCAAACACAGCTGTGGTTTACGAACATTACTGACACTAAATTAAAAAGTGTTCAGTATGGGTTTGAGATGCCTACAACTATGTGTTTTGAAAGAATATCTGCAACAATTTGTTCAGAACATGTACAGACAATAACACTCGTCACTTCTGGTTTCAAAATAAATTGTAAATTAAATATAAAGACTGAAAATTGTTTGCATGCAAACATTTTGGAAAGTTAGACAGCCTAAAAGGTGTGTGTATGGCATAACATGCACCAAGTAAATATAAAAATATGTATTTTTAATAGTTGAACATTAATAAAATGATTATGTTAATGTACTAATAAATTGTATTTTATTATTCTCTAATGGAGACACTTATTCACTGCAAAAGGCTGCTATCAAAGGCATGCAGGYGAGCAGCTGGAAGGGTAAATAAAGTGGGGAAAATAAATGTAGAKGCGTATGCTTCACCTTTCCCAACCAAACTTTATGTCTCGGTCCAGGAGTTTGGACCTGTGACCTCTCTATCACAGAACATCAGAGGGGGTCAGGTAACACAGTTGTTACCTTATTTAAGTAGACTCTGGACACCTGCAAGAGACCCCTACCTGAGCTTCAGAGTCCGAGTTGGTTCATATAGCTCTAACATG